CCCTATACCATTTTAGAATTTCAGATACATAAATGCCACAGACAGTTCCCACACTCTGCACTGCTAGCATTACTACTTCCTACACCGTTTCCTACGTCATGGACCTGTTTTCCTCCCCTCTCGTAGCATTTTAGGATTGTAGATACCTTAATGTTATTCCCATAAACAGTTCTCAGACTCCGGACTGCTCACCTTTACTACTTCCTTCACCACTTCCTACGTCACGAACCTGTTTCCCTCCCTTCCCATAGCATATTAGGATTGCAGATTTCTTAATCTAATCGTCATAAACAGTTTTCACACTCCAGACTGCTCGCCTTTACTACTTCCTTCACCACTTCCTACGTCGCGGACCTGTTTCCCTCCATTCCCATAGGATTTTAGGATTGTAGATAACTTGATCTAATCGTTATTAACAGTTCCCACACTCCGGACTGCTCACCTTTACTACTTCCTTCACCACTTTCTACGTCGTGAACCTGTTTTCCTCCCTTCCCATAGCATTTTAGGATTACAGATTCAATAATCTAATCGTCATAAACAGTTTCCAAACTCCAGACTGCTCGCCTTTACTACTTCCTTCTCCTTCACCACTTCCTACGTCGCAGACCTCTTTCCATCCCTTCCCATAGGATTTAAGGATTGTAGATAACTTGATCTAATCGTTATTAACAGTTCCCACACTCCGGACTGCTCACCTTTACTACTTCCTTCACCACTTCCTACGTCGCGGACCTGTTTCTCTCCCTTCCAATGGCATTTTAGGATTGCAGATACCTTAATCTAATCTTCATTGATAGTTCCAACACTCCGAGCTGCTTGCCTTTACTACTTCCTTCATCGCTTCCTACGTCGCAGACCTGTTTCCCTCCATTCCCATAGCATTATTGGATTATAGATACCTTAATCTAATCGTCATAAACATTTCCCACACTCCGGACTGCTCACCTTTACTACTTCCTTCACCACTTCCTACGTCACGAACCTGTTTCCCTCCCTTCCCATAGCATTTTAGGATTGCAGATTCCTTAATCTAATCGTCATAAACAGTTTTCACACTCCAGACTGCTCGCCTTTACTACTTCCTTCACCACTTCCTACGTCGCGGACCTGTTTCCCTCTATTCCCATAGCATTTTAGGATTGTAGATTCCTTAATCTAATCGTCATAAACAGTTTCCACACTCCAGACTGCTCGCCTTTACTACTTCCTTCACCACTTCCTACGTCGCGGACCTGTTTCCCTCCATTCCCATAGCATTTTAGGATTGTAGATTCCTTAATCTAATCGTCATAAACAGTTTCCACACTCCAGACTGCTCGCCTTTACTACTTCCTTCACCAATTCCTACGTCGCGGACCTGTTACCCTCCATTCCCATAGCATTTTAGGATTGTAGATTCCTTAATCTAATCGTCATAAACAGTTTTCACACTCCAGACTGCTCGCCTTTACTACTTCCTTCACCACTTCATACGTCGCAGACCTCTTTCCATCCCTTCCCATAGGATTTTAGGATTGTAGATTCCTTAATCTAATCGTCATAAACAGTTTCCACACTCCAGACTGCTCGCCTTTATTACTTCCTTCACCACTTCCTACGTCGCAGACCTCTTTCCATCCCTTCCCATAGGATTTTAGGATTGTAGATAACTTGATCTAATCGTCATAAACAGTTTCCACACTCCAGACTGCTCGCCTTTACTACTTCCTTCACCACTTCCTACGTCGTGGACCTGATTCCCTCCCTTCCCATAGCTTTTTAGGATTGTAGATTCCTTAATCTAATCGTCATAAACAGTTTTCACACTCCAGACTGCTCGCCTTTACTACTTCCTTCACCACTTCCTACGTCGCGGACCTCTTTCCATCCCTTCCCATAGGATTTTAGGATTGCAGATTCCTTAATATAATCGTCATAAACAGTTTCCACACTCCAGACTGCTCGCCTTTAATACTTCCTTCACCACTTCCTACGTCGCGGACCTGATTCCCTCCCTTTCCCATAGCATTTTAGGATTGTAGATAACTTGATCTAATCGTTATTAACAATTCCCACACTCCGGACTGCTCACCCTTACTACTTCCTTCACCACTCCCTATGTCGTAGACCTGTTTGCCCTCCTTCTTTATACTATTTTAGAATTGCAGATACATAAATGCCACAGACGGTTCCCACACTCTGCGCTGCTAGCCTTACAACTTCCTTCCCCATTTCCTACGTTATGGACCTGGTTCCTCCCTCCCATTACATTTTAGGATTGCAGATACCTTAATTCAATCGCCATAAACAGTTCCCACACTCCAGACTGTTCGCCTTTACTACTTCCTTCACCACTTCCTATGTCGTGGACCTGTTTTCCTCCCTTTCCATAGCATTTAAGGATTGCAGGTACCGTAATCTAATCGTCATAAACAGATCCCACACTCCACACTGCTACCCTTGACTATAGAATCTAGTAATCTTCAGTATAATCTTTGCTCAATAGTAACAACTGATGTTTTTCCTTTTGTACTGTATTTTGTTTTGCTAGTATACTGTGGATAGACTAATTACAAGTCTTTTGTTTACTTTTTCCTTGTTATTTAATTCAGCCAACATGGTTACCTAGCAACCCATAAGACTAATGTTAAAAAAATGTGATTTTCAGTTTCATTTTTCTACGTAATTAGATTTTTGTTGGCAGTTCTAATTGCAGTAAACTCGTTTTTAGGCCAGAAATAAACTATATACAACATTTGAAGAAAATCGTCGGAGCCGTTTTCGAGATCTTGGTGCAAGCATACATACATACATACATACATACATACATACATACATACAAGCAAACTTTGCTCGTATTAGAGTATAGGATTTTACAAAAGATAACAATTTATCAATATACCGTTTCATATAAAGTACTGCAAATGTAATGTAAAAATTGTATAGCTTATTTTTACTTTCTCCCCCTATACCATAGTATATGGAGAAAGTATTGTTTTCGTCAAAATTTTCGAGTTTGAGTTTTGAGTGGATATATCCGTTTTGGGTCCCCCTAGACCCAAAAAAGTGGTTTTCAAAGTGATGTCTGTGTGTGTGTGTGTGTGTGTGTGTGTCTGTGTGTCTGGATGTGTACAGAGCTAGGGACTACACCCGTGGTCCGATTTTGATGAAATTTGGTATGTAGGTTCTAATCCATGGCATCTCCAGGCGTTTTTTTCATTTTTTTGAAATTTTGATTTTTAATGGGGATTTTCCCATAAAAACCCATAAAAACCGGAAAAATCGGATTTTCTCGAAAATGGCCCAAACGATTTTGATAAAAATGTGGTATGTTGTAGCCCTTTAAATTCTGAACAAAACGGTACACATCCCATTTCTGTAAAAATTACGGTTCAAAAGTTATGGTAAATTATGTTATTTTCCCATAAAAACCCCATAAAATAACGAAAAATAGGATTTTAGAAAAAAATCCGGTTTTATTTTAACATAGTATGTTATGATCCTTAAAATTTTGATCGTTTTTTTCATTTTAAAAACATTTATATTTTTAATGGGAATTTTCCCATATAACCCCATAAAATAACGGAAAAATAGGATTTTCCCAAAAACGGCCCGAACGATTTTGATAAAATTTTTGGATGTTATAGTCCTTTATATTCTGAACAAAATGGTACAAATCCCATTTCCGTAAAAATTATGGTTCAAAAGTTATTGTAAATTATGTTATTTTCCCATAAAACCCCATAAAATAACGGAAAAATCCGATTTTCGCAAAAATGGCCCGAAAGATTTCGATAAAAATTTAGTATGTAGTTCTTTAAATTGTGAACAAAATTGTATAAATCCCATTTCCGTATATTTACTCTCACCGCTTACACATGATAAAGGTTGTTGACAAACTTATGGGAGAAAGTATGTGTCAGAATGCTGATACCGTTTATTTTTTATTTGGTAGTTTAACACATCCTGCATCATGTCTGCATCTAACCTTATCCAATTAACCAAAACAAATCAAATAATAATAACAGCAAAAAAAAAATTAAAGCTATCAATACGCTTAGTAAATACTACATTCCCTTTTGTGAATACATTATCCTTATGGTGCCATGACTAAAAATTGGTTCATCACATGGGTTAACCGTATCTTTTCAAAATTCGCCAACTTTTTTAGCTTGCGTCGAAAAGAGACACTGTGAGCCATTGATGAATTATACTAGCAATTTGTTTTCCTTGTTTGCACCTAACTTGACATCCCTCCTTGTAACCAACTGTTTTTATGACAAGTTTAAACTAAAGTAAACTATGATAATTGTAATTTTCATCTTTTTAAATAATTTGCTCATAATATTAAGTTACATTTTCACGAAAACATGTATAACCGTAATTGGATTTAATTAATCATTTCATTCAAAGATTGTCCAAAATTGACAGACATTTTGTATCTTTAACCAACAAAGTTAAAAAATATAACCGTCCTGAAGATTGATAAATGTATACCAAATGCAGAGTCTAGGCCAAATTAGTTTAAATTCAAATCCATTTATGGCCCAAATATCGAAAAACTTTAAATATATGATAGCTTTACAATATTGGCTGCATGCCATTCCGATTGTTCATTTGTTTGTTTGAAAATATGTTGTGTTTGCCAAGTTGTTCTACACCTATGAACCGAACTTTAAAAGATTCGAGAGAGATGTCCAAGGACTTCAGGAATATTACCTTTTTAATGTATTTTCAGCTATAGACTTCAGCTAGCAGTTTATATTATACTTCTTGCCAAACTTTATCATTGCGTCACCCATGACACCTTAGTTACCATTTATAAAATCAGTACACTTAAGCAACGAGTTGTTGTGTAAGAAATTGCCAGACAGTGATTGGACATTTAAATTTGTACGCAATTTGTCGTATATTAGACGAAATTCTTATTTATTCGGATCACGAATAATTAACTTTTCAAGTACAAATCCGGTTCTTTGACCGGATCTATTAAAATGAGGGAATCAAGAACTCAAGTGTTTTCAATCACTCGTTTACTTCATGAGGTTTTTATATTTTACCATACACTTCTTGAAGTTGCTCCCACACAGATTTGTCAACAAAGTTCAATAGTTTCGGGTCAATCTGATCTTCTTTGCTCATTCGCAGTATTTTGACCGGGGTCATGTGCCCGTCGTGAGATGTTATGCGAAGAACCTTCCCGACTTTAAGACTGCCCCTAACGTCTTCGTGCTTCTCCAGGTATCTAAGGCCGTAGTCAGCATTTTCTGTTACGTACTTGGCGTAGATGTTGTTCACAGGTGCTCTTGCGAGTTTCTTCATCGCAAAATCCAGCCCGTAAATGACTCGGCCAATCGGTGGTGTTATTATACTTCCCGCATACTGAGCCACGAACAATATCAAGTTGACAAAAGCATATGCGGCCAGAGTCCACCTGATTTTAGGCCTCGATTTCCTTATAACATCCAAATTGAGGTCGGAAAGAGACGCGTCTCGGTCTTTGATATTCAGTTCGTCTTCAAGCTTAATTTTCTTTTTCATTTGACTCATTTTCTTGTTGTTTTCGTCTATCTTCTTCTGTGCAGCGGCCACTGCTGTGGTTCCTGCTGCTACAGCGGCCAAGGCTTTCGGGTCTTTCAAGATTTTAGGGTCTACTTTTATAGCTGGAGGGGTTGTCAGCTGTTCTGTGGGTTTACCATTTGAAGCAGTCTTTGGTTTTTGTTTGACAAGGCCTGTTGGAATCTCCTCATCGGACTCTGATGAATCCTTGGGTTTCTTGCTCCAGAAGAATCCTCTGGATGGTTTCTTCTGTGTAGCCGCCGCTGCTAGGGTTGCCGCTGACGCGACTGCTACTGTTTTAGGGTCTGTAGGGACTTTAGGGTCGACCTTTACCACCGGAGTTATCATATTTGTATCTGTAGGCTTAGGTTCTGGCTTTTTATCGTTGGAATCAGTTTTCGGCTTGTCTTGAGATGGTTGCTGTTTTACAAGACTTGTTTGAAGTTTCGCCACAGATTCAGGTTTCTTGCCTTGGTAGAGTCCTCCATACGAGTTCTTCTCTGCAGCCGCCATTGCTGCCAAAGCTAACGCCGATGCAGTTGCTATTTTTTCGGTGTCTTTCGAGATTTTAGAGTCAACATCTTTCGTCGGAGGCGTTGCCGGCTTGGGATCTGCGGGCTTAGTTTCTGACTTCGGATCTGCGGGCTTGGTTTCTTTCGGAACTGCGTGTTTATATTCTGACTTCTTATTTTCCTTATCAATTGAATCTGGCTTCACTTTATCTTGAGGTTTTGCGGGATTCGGATCTGCGGGCTTGGTTTCTTCCGGAACTGCGTGTTTATATTCTGACTTCTTATTTTCCTTATCATTTGAATCTGGCTTCACTTTATCTTGAGGTTTTGCGGGATTCGGATCCGCAGGTTTACCTTCTGACTTATCCTTACTTTGATCGGTCTTTGGTTTACCTTGAGGTTTCTTCACTGTCACGAGACCTGTTTGAACCTCTTCCTCTGATTCTGACTTTGCCTCGGCCGTTCCTGTCGCCCATGGCCATTTGTAGCCTTCAGATGGTGCTATGACCATCACTAGCACAAGGCATCCTAGTATAAGTATCTGTAAGAAAATCACAATATGAGATACGTTGTTTTTGTTGACTATGAAAAAAGCATTTGAAATTCAGCCATAACACTAATATTTCTAATGGATTGATTGGTATCAAGTACAGGTTAAAAGTCTAATAAGCCACAATGATTGGTATTACAGCTTAAGAGCATAATTATGGACGCTGGTAGATTCAGTAATCAAACAAGTCAAAGGACATCATTAGAAACCAAGATCTAAAGAATGATAACTGGTTCAGACTAGGACTTAAAACTGATTGATGACAAGAGGTATTGGTAGTGACGTCACATGCACTGTATTGTATTTCAGATAGTGATTTGTATTGATTGTTGGATTGCGGAGAATGAAAACTATGAAAATGTTAAATATGAAAGTTTGACGAAGAAAAATAAACTACGTACACTACACTACAAATCATCAGTAGTGTTTCAATTTCGGTCTTTATGTTTCACTGTTTTACTGTTGTTGTGTAGAATTTTGTGACCATAGAATAACCAAGAAAATAAAAAAATAAAAATCCATTATAAAACAAAAATGTCGAAACAGAATCAAACTCCTCACCAATCAAATTTCAATGATAATGCTATATTCGATAATAAAGCTGTAGTCGAATTTATTTGTGTAGTTTAGTTGAGGAGACAAAATGCCTTGATTCCTTACTTGAACAACTCGGCCATTGATTGAGAAAATAAGCGACCTCACACATTGGTCAAAAGGAGCGACCATAGAATACAAATTTTAATTCCGTGGTCGCTGATATAAAGCCTAAGTGTAGTGCTTGGCTCATATGAGAGTTTTCACTGATTTGGTTAGCTATTGACACTTTAAAAGCTAAAATAGAACGGCCCTATCCTCCATACGTCATTGGCATTGACGTTTTGTGTACACAATTTACATATACGGTTCTTTATGTGTTCGGTTCTTTGATGTGTTATTGCTGTAATACCTTAAATTTCACACAGCCACAACAGATTTGGTTATCATTTTTGTTGTAGCGGTGTTTCCGGACCAAATATTTGACATATAAAAAGTGTTTAGTTACCTGATGTCACCTTATGGCCTAAGACAATCTATTGGTGCTTCAAGGACTAAAATACAATAAAGAGTATTCTTTGAATTAGTTGTTATACTAATAATCATGTATTAAACAGAAATTAAACTTCACACTATATAAATCAACCTATCAGTCATAAGGCTGAACATTACGCTATCCTAAATTGCAATACAAAACTTAAAATTAACTCTAACTTACTTTATTTATTTTATATTTATATTATTTTTAAATACTGCAAAAGTTTTGTGAATTTAGAAATTTCATATTCAACAAGTACTTACCAAGCGCATTTTGCTGAATTCTACTGGCCTGCGGTTCGATTGCGAAACGCTTCAACAGTTATGTGAACAGAACAATAATTACGACAAAAGTAATTATAATCCACAGCCATTCCACAATACCTGCTTATTGTGTTATCAATTCGAATGCCAGCGTACAATACCACTCTAGCTTTCATTAGCCTTAAAATAATGCAATAGATTTTGCTATATATTTTAAAAATTCTATGTTTGTTCTTTATTTTTTGTTTTGTAACTTTATTTACCTTTAGATCTTCATTTGTATAACAATGTCCAAGGTATCAAACAGGGTTTTTTATTAAAAGAATAATGTTTATAACCCGTTGACGTAATTTTCTTAATGAGAGGAGGTAAAATAATGCGTTTACACACACAGGTACTTAACTTATTATAATAATGACGCTTATTATAAACGTACAAGCACTCTTTACGACGCCTTTGGGGCGCGACTCTTAGATTGAACAGAATACTCAATAACTCACCCCCTCTACTATGTTGGTCACATGCCTGAGATGGTTCATAGCATTACTTAAAGTCAGGCCAACATGTGATCCTGGCCCTAAGGTTCCAATTGTTTCTGGCATTCAGTTATTTTATGGCCTAGACGTCATCGCATTCAAAGTCAAGCTGCTTTGCGCGGAGAAGTTAACTAGTAAATAGTGCGGAGTGGTAAATAACCTGGAACTGTGACACACAGGGCCAATTGTCCTCCCCCTTATCATTAGGATGACCATATCCACTGACAACAGGTACAACGAGGATGGTAGCACGGACGTTATGAACTTCAGTGTCACCTTCAACAACACGATGGAATACATCCACTTTGTGGTCAGAATCACGATCTTGGTTTTGCTCAAAGTGAGCCAGAGACTGTGATCCATGCGTTGATGGTATAAATGACTCGGTTCAGTTTTCATTGGACCAGCTCAACACAATGGGTGGCAATCAAAACCGCAAAGTCATATTTGTACCCAACTAAAAATCGGTTTTATGAGTCATCTCAGACCTCAGATGTCTGTCGTACGTGTTCCAGAGGTCCGGACCGAGTATGGAACCTTGGGCGGCACCAGAAGTGCACATTCACCGTAGACGAGCCTTCCGTAATCATAGAGGTGGTGGAACCGGAGGTAATCCTCTATGATGCGTATGAGGAAGGTATTCTCCAGAGTGTTCAGCATATCACACCAACTTGAGGGATTAAATATGTATTTATCACATCGAGTGTTACGAGCAGCACAACCAATTAATGCCATTCACTTATGACTCAGGGTTTAGTATACCTTTAAGAATTTAGCCTTTTTCTATCAAGTACGAAGATAATAGTCTCTTTGGCATTGTACTCCTTATTTCTTAGTTTTTGATTATTTCCGACCACGAAAATACAAACGATAAATTATTATTTTTTTACCCATTGGACTACATAATAGATACCGTTTAATATAATTGATACCGGTGGGAAATCTTTGCCATGTATGTTGGATATATTTTACTTATCCTAGGAAATTCTTGTGACATTCCATAATTTTTTCGTGCAATTGTATTTGGAAAATGTATTTATTTTATGTAATCTTTGAGGGAAAAATCAATAAAGAATGATGATGATAAATGATTTTGTTATTGTTTGAAAACTACCCATAACTTACTTGCTGTCCATTATCAATATTTTTTGTAGGCTTAGTTCTGATGGTTGTCGTTCCCAGTCTATCAATTTATTGTGCCTTCAAAACATCGACAGGCGGTAATGATACCAGGGGTTGGGTTTGTTTTGATTGAGGCACAAAGGTGAAATTACGCTGTGACAAAATAACATCATGATCGTGTATACGAGTGTGTGCTAATATGGTTAACAATAACTAACTTCTTCTATTCCACATAGTTATCCTTTACTGTAATTATATTCACAGAAGGCCTATAGAATAACACAAGACCGTAACAACAGTATAAAATATTGGTGTGTATGTCTTTTACCCTTGGAATCACGAAATACTGATACCTACTTACCTACTGATACTACTTAGGTAGTTGAGTGGTTATAGTGCTTGCTTGGTAATCAAAACAATACATAAAAATAATTAAACATAGACCGTCAGCTGTGCTAAGGTTACCATAGGTTCTGGCACACACCGCTAGGAGTGCCATGTAGTTACGGCGAACGCACTACGTCACTACATGCCACTCCCAGCGGTGTGCGCCGGAACCTATGGTAACCATGGTAACCACAGCACGGCTGACATCCTATATTTAATTCTTTTCGTCTATGTCAAAACCCACCAGTTCGATGTTTAGGAAAGTTAGTAGCTCTGTATAATCATTAGGCTTGACCAAATAAAGGCAACACTTGGCCAATCAGCTGGTCTAGTCAGTAACAAAAAGTTACTCAAAGAATTTCACCTCATTCTACACTCATACCTTACCCATATCCATAAGTATAAAAGAGGATGTTTGTATATATATATATATATATATATATTTGTTTGGCAATGATAAACTCAGACACCGCTGAACCGATTGCCACGAAACTTGGTACATACGTGTAGAATTCCATGGAATAGGTTTATACACCATCAATTTCGTGATCCGCCGACCAGTGGCTCTGGGGTTTCCCATGTTAACCTTATGATAAATTGAATTAATGAATCTTAACAGCTGTTTCAATTAAACAAGTTGGTTCTGTTCTATGATGTTCAATAGCATTAAAGTTACAAGGATTGCCAACAGGGTGCAGCACTATTATTTCTTTTACATTTATGACAACAGCTAATTTGCAACCAAAAGGTGAGTGAGCGTAGCGAACGAACTTTAACCTGGAGGCGAGTTAGCGTAGTGAACGAGCTAACCTGAAGGCAAGTGAGCGAAGCGAACGAGCTCCAACCTAAAGGTGAGTGAGCGTAGCGAACGAGCTCCAACCTAAAGGTGAGTGAGCGTAGCGAACGAACTTCAACCAGGACGTGATTGAGCCATGCGAACGAGATCATCTTGAAAATTAAGAAGTTAAACGGGGCAAAGCCCGCGGGTTACAGCTAGTTTGGGTTAAAATACGCACTTATGTGGCGTATCCTCTCAACTGGTAAATAGTGATGCCAATTAAAGGCATAACTTGTAATAATATATCAAAAGCCGATTACGAGTAAATGGTGAGTGTGGACGAATTATATGCAATATATATTTTACCAAGGCATTCTTTAGCTAAAATATTATCAATATGTCTACGATTTAAACAAAAAGGAACTGAATTTTCTCAAAATCAAACTGTCAACCTATAAAACTTAACTTACAATCCAACAACGTTACATTATTACCATCTAGGTCAACCAAAAAGGTTGAAAAGTACCTTGACTAATCAAAATAACGTGCATGTTTTTTCACACTTTTATTTCACAAATCACATTTTTTATTAGTTCGGAAGATCGTCGTCTCCTGCCCACCAGTTCTGGAGGATCCTGGAGGCAGACGAGGATATTTCGCTGGTGAAGGGAGGAAGAGGATCCCCTTTTTTCTCCACGTACACGGGTAACAGCTCTATATGGTCTGGTTTCACCTCGATTTCCACATATTTGACTCCAACGTGGTTGCGCAACAGTGATGAGTACGGGATGTTCTTATACTGTAAAATATGGACACATTTTGAATTGTAAGAAAGATGGAAGGGGTTTGTTTCGGAGTTGTGGGTTTATTATCTCTATAAAATTCAATTATGCTCAATATGTTATGCCAAATAAATACAATAATGATATTAGAACCTCTTAGTCTGTACAGTAATACCAGGATGTAATAATAGTAAAGTTTTACTGATTAAACTTTATGCTATTTTAGCTGACGTGTTTTGCGTTTAGGTTTTGGTTGCATTGTAGGGGTATTGGGATGTGATGGTAAAAGAGTTCTTGTGCTTAGTATTTATCATATAGTTTAATACAATCGTCTGAACAAAAACTATTTATTCTCTAATTTAGTTCTGGGTCATATGTAATTTCGTGGGATTTAGAATGAAGCGATTGTAGGATTGGTAAAACTTCATAAAATGTGTGTTTATTTAACATTTCATAAATCAGTCCATTGCATGTACAATGGCGCTATTTGAACCTGACTGGAAAGAATTTGTAAATTCTTTGTTTATGTTACTTTAAAAAAGGTTTAATTCCACCGATTCTTTCATTTCAGACTGGGTTTAATCTTACTAATATTATAAATGTGAAAGTTTGTGTGTTTGTTTGTTTGTTTGTTTGTTTGAAGTTCAATCACGCATAAACTACTGGATGGATTGGGCTGAAATTTGGCATGGTGATAGGTCACATTCCTGATTAACATATAGGCATATTCGTATCTCAAAGATCCTTTCGGGCTCCGCCCCAGTGGCTCTGTAGTTTCCCATGTTAACCTTATGAGTATTCATAATAAAGGGGATTAAAGAATTTAGTCAGCTGTTTTAACTAAAAAAGTTGGTTCTATGATATGCTAAAGCAAGTTATAAGATTTACCAACAGGGCGCAGAACTATAATTCTTTTGGTTTTATGAATCAACAAAAAACTGTGATATGCAATGAGAACTTTCAAAGTAGGACTGTTTACAGTTAGGTTTATGTTTTTAACTTCATGAATAATTTGTGATATTTTGTGAATTGTGAATAATTTATCTGTCTCTGTTGCTTAGGTGAAGTGGTAGAACATTATCGCCATGGTAGATGTGTAATACTAAAGTATACCTTAAATGTTATTATAGTAAACAATTTTCTTCAAATTTGTTCTCCCCATTGCAAACGCAAAGCTTGAGTATAACTGCAATAAGCATTTTATACTTGCATGCCAACCCCGTACGAAGGTCGGGTATTCTGCTAGTCATCTGATAATTAGAACTTTGTTTGAATTTTTTTCTTATTGTACTATCAATCTTATTTCACTCTATTGCAGTGGTGAAAACTTAAAAGGTGAATTTGGATCTATTAACTTGTATTCAATTACGTTAGTTATATCACGTAGATTTAGATGTTAGCTACATACGGAGAGCCGGAAAACAAGACTCTGTCAACCCATGTTTATAATGTAAAATGTCTTTGTATTATCCAAAGCAACAATCCTGCAAAGTTTTTCGAGAGAGTTCACAAACACTCCGTATAGTTTTAACTCATAAGTAAATGTAGCAGCTAAGTTAGTTCTAAGCTCTAACTTAATGAAAGAAAAATTGATCCTGAAAAACTTTGATAGCTTTTTATATATCTTAGCGTGACCTAGCCACCCTTCATTGAACTTTGAATAAATAGATTGAAGTAAATCAAATGTTTTACTATGTAACCAAGCTAAGCATAGTTTTCACTCTATTCTGCTCTCACCTCGAGTTTATATCCTGCTTAAAATACACCATTTTCTCAAACTACTTAACTTTCAAAAACCATTGAGTATGTAAGTAATTAATGTTCTCTACAGCTTTATCAATTAAATTATCAATTTCAATTATTTAAGATGGGGACGCCACTATGTGCGTATTTTAACCCAAATATGAGTGAAAGATGAGTGTAGGATGAGTGGCGCGATCTTGTAGTCTTGTTAGTGTCTAAGGCCGACATGTTCCTTAGACACAGCTGTTAATTAATAGCCCATACAGCTAATGGCAACTAAGGGACCTACAGTTTATAGTGGAATCCAAACCACATTTTTCCTTGTAATTTACAAATTGGTCTAATTATCAGGATAGTACTGCGGATAGTCGTAGTTTTTACTAGTGCGGACGTTAATCCACACCAGGGAGCATCGCATCCACAGTGCATGTCTATAAATATCCACAATTCGTGACCTCCTAGTAGCTGGATTACAGGACGACACCACCCGTCCCAGTCTCAATTTACAGTTCAATGACGATGGGTGGCTTGGTCAAGCTAAAGAATATTAAGCTACTATCGTTTTTCAGGATCAAATTTTCTTTGTTACTATTAAGTTAGAACTTAGAACTAACTTGAAATAGTACACAAAGAAAAATTTAAAACCCACCTCCAGATAAGCGTGGACAAAGTCACTAACTCTCTGCTGATGTTTGGTCCACGTCTCCTCTAAACTCTGCCTCCTCCCTTCGTCGTCCAAGACGATAGACTTGACAAAAGGGAACAAGAAGGATTTGTCAACCAAGTACGCGCCAAGAGCCGCGACTGTACAATGAGTCATGTGTATCAGCATCAGCCTCTGAATGTGTCTTCTCTCCTTGACCAAAGTGTACGCATAGTACTCCACATTGAGGTCTACTTCGTCCTTCAGTGACGTAGGAATATCCTCAAACCTTACAGAGAACAGTTTCTTCAGCGCTCCGGAATTGTTTATTTCTCTGTGGACCAGGGTACTTTGTTGGCTCACGTACTCGCTGACTTTATGCTTGTCAAAGCTTAAGCTCCTAGTGACAGGGTCCCCCAGGGCTGGGATCAAAAGAATTAAGAAAATCACTGTACCTGAAACCTGTGTTTGTTTTAGAATCACGTTTATCTTACTAAAGACTACTGGATTGTAAAATGTGAAATTGTTTACGTGGTGTATGAGAATGTCCAATGGTCAATTTCGTGGACCAATTAAGCTGAAATTTAGCAAAAAAAATTACAAAGTGAAAATATGCCACAAACTAACACAATGAATTTTTTAACTCTTTTAGGGCTCCGCCCCACTGGCTCCCATAGGTGCCATGTTATCATTATCAATACATTAAATATAGAGATTTATTTACTTTACTACAGTACCCAATGTTGTTGAATTATTTTGGATCTACTGTTTTCAAATAAATATAAGTGGGGGCTTAAATTAAGTACTCATTGAAATGACCTTATGTTTAAAAATTAATTTAGTTACAGTATTTTTTTACACGAATCACTAACTTTTGTCATACATACACTATACTAAGGAGCCTACAGAATAATTTAAACCTGAGTTGAAAGAAAGAGAACTTAAATTAACTATTTACGTTCAAAATCTTTTTCATAAAGCAAAAAAACTATACTCTTCCCGTTGTAAAGCACGGATTATCAGATTTATAGCCTTATAATAGATAAGCGAATATTCTCCTTTTACAACTTTAAATCATCCTAATTTAGTCCAAAACACTACCTTAACTGGTTTTTAAGCTTAATCACTTCCCGTAATGATTTAACCATACAATATGAAAAATAATATATAGGCTATGCTGTACATTTTCAAGAATATTTACCGCTCATATTTAGTGGCAGAGTAACTACAGTGTGGCTTATCATGGAACCCAGTATGGAGAGCATTGTGAATGTATTAATAAACTCTATGCTCGCAAAAAGATGTCCTGTTGATTTACCAGTAACACATTAGAGAAATGCCTTGAACAATAAGGCTACTACTAAATTTTCAAATTACAATTTTTTTAAATCTGCATCAATCTTATATCATCGTATTCTTATTTATTATCTTTGTAACATTGTAACATAGATTTACTCATGTGGCTTCAATAAACGTTCCATATCGTTTTATATGTTTTCATTCATATGCTGGTTATTTCAACTACTAAATTAATTAACTAGATTTTTACTTGTTTTGATGAATATAATTTCATAAATGAAAATCTTTGCACATACACAACAATATACAGCAAATTCCACAGGTTTTCAGTTCAATGAAATTCGCAATTGTTTATACAGTCAAGTTTAGTCTCAACATAAGTAAATCTAAATCACATAGTTTGAATCCAACCTTACTCACCATGGTAAAGCTAAAATACATCGGTCATTTGTGAATCCATTTTACACTCGGTGTGCAAAGAGTTGTGGAGGCGGACCAACTGTAGTGATGTAATTGTAATTAGCCAACTTGCCTTCTGTGGTGAAATAACCAAACTTGTGGCTTTACAGCTACAAAACACACGAGATAAACACAAAACTTCACGGGACACATCCTCAAATAAGTCTTTTTTTAGCAATGTTTCACGTTTGTCGATATTTATACATTCCAAACATTGTGTGTGCTTTAATTTTTATTTCATTATAATAATTGGAAGATATATTTACAAAATAGCAGATTAACTGAAGTGTTAAGAATATGTTGTGGTTATTGTTATGTTGGAGTTTATTTTGTATTTATTTTATTATTTTTACATTTTGTCAGTGAACGATCTAAAAGTTTTTGTCTCGTTGATGTACAACGTTGACCTTTTTCATACTTGTAAATACATGACTTATGGGTCTGGAAACGGTCTCGCTTGGAATCTAATCGAAAAAGGGAAACTGAAAAAATCCGCCAGGGCGAGCACTATAACCAACCAGGTGGCAGTCTATTCAACAACTGTTTACAAGTCCTAACGGTAAACCGGTTCGGTTGGAAACTGATTAAACGTTTTCCAAATCCATCAACCATGTATGCAAGGAATGATCTTACAATAATGTTTGAAACACAACTGTTGTACAACTTTAAAGTAAATCGCACAGAAACCTGCATACTGCACAACTCATGTTGGTCCTAAATTCTTAGGGCAGTCTTAACACAATGCTTGAATGTTAACACAGAGAACACAGAGTATGCAATGTAAAAAACGAACTAAGAGAACAAAACAAAACATTTATTCGTTCACAAGATGTGAACAATAGATAGATTTTATTTCTCTGACAATACGGTGTAATTATTTTAACAACCAGTTTCTCGCAAACGGAATCCAGTGTTTTATGTCCGCCCCATCTGGAATTGGGCTTCGTTTCTTCGTGATGTAGAACGGGAACAGGACTCCGTGTTTCTGTTTTTCGTCCACGTACAACTTGATGACCTTAGTGTTCGAGCGCCAGTTAGTTTCCTGTTTCGTCAGGTCTATATTTTTTACTCGGGCGTATTCCACGATATACTCGTTCAGCTGTCTTTGATGAACCGCCATGTCTCCGTTGATAGTAAGCCTGTAAGAACGTTGGGTTTGTTTTACGTTTTAAAAACATACAAAATCCTATGTTTCAACATGCCACTTGGAGTAGCTGCTTATAAATACTTGGCACGATATGGGTAGAGCCTTAGTCAATTGCTTTTTATATGCTACACTTATGCATATATATATATATATAAATATATATATATCGTACTTTATCGAAGCATTCAAATATGAAACCTCACAAGTTAACACCAAGAATGGTGAATATAAATTACCCCACAGTTAAAACAAAAATATAGATAACTTTTAAATAACATCGCAACAGCAAAACTGCAGACTAAGCGAATTCCCATTTTCCTGATAAGATCTCCACTGTAATAATCCCTTCGACATGTTAGATTTATCACCAATTTAGATAATATTAGGTTTGGTGAGTACAGAGGTTGGCTGCCACAAGGAATGTTGTAATTGTGTAAAGGTTACGATCATGCTACCCTGAGTGCTGCCTGACCGCCGCACCTATACAAACCCTTATTGAGCGCGTCTGTCCACACAGGAGTACGGACTGGGCCCCATACATCAGCACTCAACAGCTTTCTGCAACTGGACCGAGGACCAAACCTAGTGGCCTTGTCCGCTTACGGAAGTTCTGGTTCCGCAAGCTAAGCTAACTGACAATCATGACACAGAAGTACTTGTTGGCACGAATGGTCTGGACTTCGACAACCTCCATTCAAAGAGGGACCAAATATTGCCAATCCACTTTTTGGTGACAATCACGATCTTGGTTTTGCTCAGAGTGGTTGGTACGTTATTGATGGTACGTAATTTAGTTTAATTTCAGCTAGGCAGTACGCTACGTGCAGCTATCGAAGCTACAAGGTCATCTGCGTTCACAGGCATTCCACACGGCAAGAGCCTGTCACTGATGACATCATAGGTGAGGTCATAGATGGTCCAAACCGATTATGGACCCTTGTGTGACATCACAAGTGACATCATCTTCCGCGGGCCTTCCGTAGTGTCACTGTTCAGGGGGTAGCCCTCTAAGATAGCATGTATGGTGGTACAAAAGCAAGAGTAATTAACAGTGACAATTTTAAGGATGCCTTGTTATTGTGAGCTGCATTATCAAAGTTTGACTGTAGCAAGTAGAAATGTTAAACAAAAAGCAACCTACCTCCAGCTACTGTTAACCCAATAGAAGGTGGCTCCAAATGCCTTCATTCCGGAAGACGAGCCGAAGAGCTGTAGGAGGATCATTGTGAGTACGTTGTAGACGACGTATCGCGTCATTCGGTTCTGGATCAGCCTCCTCTGGTTGTGCAACGCGCGGTTGTAAGCGATCAGTTGTTTGTCGGGTACGTCAGTGAGGTCGGTCGGAATGTAGATCGGTTTGAGAGGCTCTCTCGCCCTCTTGGACAGGCCAAGTCTGTGAGCAAAATGTGATTATGGTTATACTTGATTTCAAATTCGGTACCAATCTTTATGAACTGAAAGTGACATTAATAGGTAGTAAAAACTCGGTAGATCTAATGTAGAATTAGTAATTTTCACTTGATAACGGGAAGAGATAATCCACTCCCAGAAACGTTTTACACACGACACGTTGAGTCCAATTTAGTAGTAACATTTCAGAACTAACGTCATTATAAATTTTTAAAACTCTCTCGATCCAAGACACCCGGTTGCTAATAAATGTATATGTAAAAATTATTGTGTATTCATTTATATTAAACCCCATTAAAAATTCCAATGTTCTGGATAACTCGACAACTCCCTAACTCAACAACTAGGTAGTTATTGAGTCTGGGTCTACAAATTGTCGAGTTATTGAGATTTCACTGTAGATTTGCACACATTACGGGTTCAAATATTACTGACAACTCAATATAACTACAAAGACCAAACACTCGCAATAGGTTTAACTGTGTAACCGTAATATTCACCTGCAAGAAAACAATTAATTTCTGTCTTTATTGTTCCAATAATGGGAATATCGTTTTCAATATTCACCTTACATTGAATGACTCACAGTCCCATGATATTTTCTATGTTCATTGTTTTGGTATGTTAAAATCAACTCTGAGAAACGTTTGCTGACGTTTTCGATCTTGAAAGTCACCCCGATGTAGCGGGAATTTATAAGTATGTTTTCAGTAAAAATTAGTAAAACTAACAAAACTAGTGTTTGTCCAACCACACCTGAAATGACTTCGTACTTTGTCGTTCTATGCATACAATGCGTAACTTAAAACTTAAAGAATCTCCTTTTAACCTAAAGCCTTGTTACCAACACTACAACCAAACGACGTGTTATTGAATAATCTTAGTCAGATTCAAGTGTTTACTTATCCATAGCAGTAATCATCATATCAGGTGGAGGCCCAAAATCCGGCATGAGATGGTCAGCGTTGACCCCCGACTCGGTCTTGGTAAGAGCGCCATTTTTATCAGTAGAGGCAGCTGTTTTGTCAGCAGAATCAGCTGTTTTGTCAGTAGTGTCAGCTGGTTTACTGGCAGATCCATCATTAGGTCCTTCAGCTTGCACCACAGCAATTACTACCGCGACTATAAAAACTTTATGGAAGAGGTTCTGCAATAAAATACATTTTAAGTTAATTTAAGACGGAACACAAAAACAAAGACCTATGTAACAAAAACAACTAAGATCACTGTTCAAAATGTGATCTACTCAGTGTTTATTCCAAAATAAGGTTATACCGTAGAGAAGTAGTATAAACAGAGTCAAAAAGGCTGTGAGAGGCTGTTGCGCGGGTCCTCTAGTTTACATATATCCCGCAGTGTATTTTATGTTTATTCTCTATTGCTATACCATCAAAATGGAAGGTATTAAAGATGTAATAACGATTGAAGTAAATGTTGGACATGGCAAAAAATAGAAAACTCTTTTCATGGATAAAATAAGCCGTAAAGAATACACTTATGTAGTTCTTTAATGTTTCAATACACATTGCAAAGCTGCGCAAAGGTAATTTATGGTTGATTGATATACAGGTTAAATTGCAGTTAAGATTCTCTGTGTATTAAAAAGGTATTTATTCTGGTGTAAATTGTAAATTAGATGTATTTTATATGTATTATGAGCTTAGTTATACATATTTATCTTAAGTCTTTTAATCATTTCTAGGCAATATCTAGGTTTGTATGGAAATCTAACATAAATGGTTTTGGTAATGCAAATATTGTCAAGCGGTGTCAGACAAAAACCTTTTTGGGTAATAATAATTAATACAAAAGTACCTAATCCTAAGTAGGTCTAAATATCTTTGAAAAAACTTAAAGGTCAAAGTCCAAAATTGCATTGATACCAATTTAAAACATACATAACTTTTTTTCTACCTTAATAATTGATTATTTAGCTTAGAATTTCAAACTTAAACAGGTCAAAATAGAATTTGCACTACATAATCATAATATTCGTCATATTCTAGCATTAAAATAACTTAATATCCACCTTTTATCTTAAAACAATAATAAAAGTACTTACCAAAGCCATGATAGAGTTAGCTCCAGCGTATAGGTTTTATGGAACAGATCGTCAAAATGACGGTTAATTGGTGTTTCAAACATCTGTTATGGTAATTTAGTTGTCAAAACGAAGTGACTTATATGTTTTCATACGTCGCAACATCATATCCATACTAGCTGAAATGTGTAGCATTAAATATGGTAAAAGTATTTTGCTACTAACTTATAATACTAGTATATTGGTTGGGAATCGCCCCAGTAAGTTACTGTACTAAGAAGGTGGTCGATATTTTAAAACTATTATTCGGGTAATGATTTAGATTTACAACTTCACAAATGATTATAAAATGTATATAGTCTATAAATCTTTAGACGTATTGATTCGTGTTCTTAACTATTGTGACCTAAAATATGTCTTAAAACTATTTAGTCGTCGAATGGTTTTTGCCAAATTAAAAGCAGTTGTTAATTTTGTTACCACGTCTCTATCGGATGGTTGGATGTTATCTTACTATAAAGACGACCTTATAACTAATATGAAATATGTATGTATGAACAAATACATAAAAATTGGAACATGTTTTATATTTTTTTTAGTTAAAGGCAATTAAGCACTCATTGGTCTCATAGTACCAAAACATGAGTGTTATCTTAGTTTTTATTACTAATTTTATTTTTATGACCATAGAACTAAGTTTAAGTTCATGAACTACTATATAAATTGACTAAAAAACATAAATCTTTGCACCAACGGGTTATGTTATAGATAAGTCGTTAACCTGTGTCATAGACCAGCCAACACAAGTGGACTTGTCATACCAATAAAGCTGGTTTTTGTGTCTAGTTCATGTTGGTGAGGTTACACTCAACAAAAGAAGGGATAAATTGGGAAACCTTAGACTTGGATAATGATTTTATTTAAACTTTAAATAATTGAAAAGCTATGAAACCAACTAAACTGGAACAATCACTATTATTTTACAAGCAACAGATTGTAAACAAAACACGACCTCTACCGGATGGAACTAACAATAAAATTGTCTTCAGCTAAGAATGAGAAAACTGTACTGAGAGAATGTTTTATCTATCCCCATCGCAGAGTATATCTTTGTTGATTTAACTCTTGATGTATTTAAGTAGTCCTTAAGACATGAAACCACATTACTTTGTTCTTTACAATTCATAAAATTATCGCTCTGTCCTCCAATGACAAACGAGGACCAATATTAATCTAGTTGCATAACTCGATCATCCATTTCCAATCACATTCGTCAATCCATTTGCTAGATGAGGGACCGGATTAGAGCGAGTCGTTCTGCATACGGAGTAGACTCGTCCGTAAACGCGTCACGTAGCCTTCTCACTCTACCAACTCGCTCTAGTTCAGTCTAGTCCGTGACAGGTGGACTCCCACGTGGGTTGTGTGTTGTCAAATTATTGTGACAGGTTGTAAAGTTTTAGAAGCGTAATTAAACATTGTTTTACTGTTTTCAAAGACAGAATGATGAAGTTTAAAGTTCAAAGCCTTGAAATAGTGTTTGTTGGGAAATGCGATAGGAGGTTTTTAAGTTAATCAACTAATTTAATTGTTTAAATACAAAACTGGACGGTTTCATCGACGTGTTATGCAGATAGATTGCGTTCTATTATTACGAACAATATGGATAAACTAATAGATTTACTTACCTTTGAATTGGATATGACTCACTATTTATTCTACTAACAATACAGATACAACATTTCGAACATGAAAATCATAAGGAGGTATATTTATGGTAGAAAAATATAAATGTAAATTCAAACGGATGTTGTTTTTAGCCTCTGCAAAAGTGAGTTGTTGAGTTTACAATGTATTTGATTTTTAATAGTTTACCAAATATGAACACATTCTTATAAAACACAATGTGGGTATCAGAAGTGGTAAATAATGAGAAGTAAATCTAGTTTTATGAGACACAAAAATTAAATTTATCCTTACCCCAATTATATTTTATTTTATCTGAGTTTTCACGTTACAAAAAATACACAAGGTGCTATAATTTTATTTATTGAACTTCCTTACTTAAGTTTAACAGTGTCTAGTAAATATATAGACGTTATATATATTTTTACGCCTTTTAAGCCCCATTAGAGTTTTTTTTGGAACTGCTAAGAGAATTATGTTTTGAGAACTGGTAAATCAGAAACACTGGTGTATACAATACCTCAAACTTAACCCGTTCTTCATATTTTTTGTAAACGTATCCCTCAAATTTAGGTTAAGCTACTTAAGTATTATTAGATAATATAGTACAGGTGTTCCAAACAATGAGACTTTATGTATTATATTTAGTGTAAAAGATGTATCAAATGCAAATCCTAGAAAGAGATTATTATCATTAACAGAATTTTATTTATTACCCTTTCCATCCGACATCTTGTTAGGCTAGTAAGTTTAATTTTGTCTTTTAACTTTGTGGATTATGTAACTTGATGCCTTTTTCCTTGCAGTTTCTAGCACTTTAGCACACACTATTGAGCATTAAGAGTGTCCTTCTTTTGTAGAAGGGTTAATATGGTGCCTCGAATAGCAGATCTCTTTGATGCATTGTTAGGGACCAGACCCCTCAGGCCCTAGTCAGACAGTACAAAGTGCAGAGGTCGGGCTCTGCACTGCAAAGGGGACCCCTCGTGTGTCAGGATTTCTGGTACTGTAGACAAATGGAGGCTGGTCCTCCAAGAACCGGGGTAGAGGTTATGTCCCTGAGGGCTGGATTCTGGTTATTCCAGCCCGTCCATTGCCGTACGAGGCACTGGCAAACATTTTATGGATACTCTGACTTCAGAAAGCACGGAGGGTTTGCTTGGCAAGCAGTCAGAAGTTGTGGTGTTTCAGTGGAGAAGTTGTGTCCCTAAGTTACCCCCTCGGACAACGCAAATAATATTTTTTTGGGGTGACTGTCTACCCCACCGTTGCCAGGATTCAAGTCTGGGCAATGGATGTTGGAGTCGAACATGAACGAAATATAAATATACAATAGAAGTACTGAGAGTCTATTATGTACCTTTATTGCTCACTAAGATGTGCCCTTTCTTTAGACATGATTAGTTATTCAAAGTCTAATGAAAAAATACAACTGCATCCAGTTTCTAGCCATAAAAGATGCACAGCGACCTAATGCTAGAAACACTATAACGACTCTTTTAGAACATAAAGTTATCATAAACAATCCACATGAATAATCCACACACGTGGAATGGAAGGGAAAAGAAACAAATCCACTGCCACAACAGTAGAGTAAAGTTGGTCATTCTACAATATGAGATCATCACTCGCCCGTCCTCTTAATGTCCACAACGATCACATTGTGTACAACTCGCCTCATACAATACAGCCGCACTCACAATACACAATACAACTCTTTTTAGTATTGTTTGTTGTCGTGGTTCTGACGTATTTTCTATCCTTTAATTTCTCAAACAGTGTACACGCTTTGTCGTTTGTCCGGAGCAAAATGTACGCTTTTAGGAAGTAATTTTGAAATGTGGATTGGATTGAATGTGAGGGGGTTCGGGGTTGTTCACGTAAAACTAGTTTGTTTTTGGAATAATGGTTAAGCTTAATTGTATCTTTTGCTGGGTTTATAAACAGGCTGAGTAGCTGAGTGGTTATAGTGTAGACGAGTAGAAAATAAAAACAAATTTCTACCAGTGAAGTCTTAGCTATGAGGTCTTAGGCAGAAACAAATGTACACAGATCATCTCACTCCGTTCTATAGACTCATACTTCACTCAAATTCGGGTTAAAATACACACCTAAGGGACGTTTACATCTCAATTGATAATCCCAAAAATCTCCAGTGTCTTTAATCTATATGTGATAATCCCTTTATCCATTGCTTTCAATCCCTGTAGGCTGTAGGCTCTATAACCAGATCCCTAAAAATGATTGGTGGGGGAAAATTACACTCTATAAGTAAACTGTAGTGTTTTAAAAGTTAATAATACATAGTAAACTATCTTTGGTAGACATGGTCAGTTGTAGCGAATTTTCCATACAGGGAATGCTATTACCGTAGGTCTCATATGGTGAGACCTGTTCCCAGGACCGATTTACTTGTTTGTCTTGAGGTCCCCAGAGGCTAAAAACAACATCCGTTTAAATTCACATACGTTTTTCATTTTTCCACTATAAATAACCGTAAGTATTTTCTTAATTATATGATTTTCATTTTCGAAATATTGTATCTGTATTGTTAGTAGAATAAATAGTGGGTCATATCTAATTCAAAGGTAAATAAATCTATTAGTTTATCCATATTGTAAGAAAAATTAACGGAACACTTACTGCATAACACATCTACAATCTAAAATAAACCGCACGCTTTGTTTTTAAACACTCAAATTAATTACTTAAAACACCTTACTACCGCATTCAACTCAAACAAACACTACTGTGCACTATTCCAAGACACCCTGTAACTTTACTTGACCCTGTATTCGGAAACAGTTTGAAACGTTTAATTACACTTCCAAAACTTTACAGCCTCTCACAATAATATGACAACACACAACCCACGTGGGGTCCACCAGTCACGGACTGGACTGAACTAGAGCGAGTTGGTAGAGTGAGAAGGCTACGTGACGCGTTTACGGACGAGTCTACTCCGTATGCAGAACGACTCGCTCTAATCCGGTCCCTCATCTAGCAAATGGATTGACAAATGCGATTGGAAATGGATGCTCAAGTTATGCAACTAGATTAATATTGGTCCTAGTTTGTCATTGGAGGACAGAGCGTTTACATTATTAAATGTAAAAGGACAAAGTAATCATGTGGTTTCATGTCTCAAGGACTACTTACATTGAGAGTTAAATGAACAAATATATACTCTGCGAGTGGGAGTACAGGCATAGATAAAACATTCAGTAGATTTCTCATCCTTATGGAACAGCTAAAAACAATTTTATTGTTAGTTCCGTCCGGTGCACTGCAGAGGTCATGTTTTGTTTACAATTTGTTTATTGTCATTTAAAACCTCGTTTAACCAAATAAAACTATCTAATAACAATAACTCGTTCCCTAGTTATATAACAACGTTAACGCACAAATCATGAAATTAACTTTAAAATCATAGAAACA